TGGTTCCGTCAGCGAAGGTTTTGAACCCCCTTGAGGTGCGGGTCCCGAGGACCATATGAGTTGTACCGATGTCGGTAACAAAACTTTGGAAGCTGTCGTCTGCGTTTTACTGTTCAAGCAGGATGTGAATCATGGTAACCTAGAGCCGAAATGGCTCGGGATCTACGAATTTTTAGTCGTGGTGAATCTACCCAGCGCGGTTGTGTGACGCACTCTGAACGCTGGGGTGCGTTTGGGCTCCCTTAGAAAAGGCCTGCGAGTGCAAAGCTGAAACGCGTCCTCGAAAGGCCTCAGATTCACCGTGGCCGCAGCGCCAGAGCTGAGGGGGTGCGATTTGGGGTGTTCACGGGGGGGCAGCTGCGGGGTCTCAAGGCGGGAAAGAGCTTTAATTCCTGGAGGAAAAGCGGTGGTGGGGTTCAGCGGGTATGATGAACGGAGGTTGGTCAACAAGGGGTTCTATTCGCGAAGTCGAACAGAATCGGGAAAATCCCAATCACCGAGATTTTCTTTAACGTGTTCCACCAAGTAGGACAGGCCCCGGAGAGAAAGAGTAGCTTTGTTGGCAAGCCCGGGCCCGCCAAAGTAACCGAATGCAAAAATGGGACCGGAGAATCAGAAACGGTTCGGAGCACGCGAGATTCCTGTCGGGCGTACTCCCCAGCGGTGGTAAACAGGTCACAGAATTGCCGCAACCATCCCGAATCACCTATCGAGAAGCAGGGGGGACAGATAATGGCCAGTTTAGTGCCCCCTCGGTCCCATCCACGGCAGTGATGGTAAGGACATGCAAAGATAACTCGTGGTGAGTGAATGCGCTTGGTTGGTCACCAATATCAACAAGAGATAACGGGATACGAACCACAGCTTTCTTTTCCACCGAGCAGTCCGTCGCGGGGAGCATGGAAACGCATTCACTGTGAAAGAGATTACCCTTCTGCCCCTCCCTGGAATGATGGTGAATCAAGGGAATTTCCAAGAGATATAAGTATACCACTGGTGACGATCCCACTCCTCGGAAAAATGTGTTGAATACACCTTGCGCACGGTCCCCTTTCGCTCCTTTCAGGGGATCGGGCAAAACTCTGTGAATCTTTCCGGCCGTGTGGGCGATCCGCGGGTGGATCGATTCAGACTCGCGTGATGGCGAGTCACATCCACTCCTATCCAGCCATGCGCAGAGCGCCGAACCATCAACGTTGTCAACTGCAATGGTGTGCATAAATGCTCCAGCCGGTCGCTTCCTCGACTGTCTGCGCGATCCCTAACACTCATCCCATAACGCGCCTGCATGATTGAACTTTGGAACATCAAAAGGGCATCGTCCGCATCAGTGTTTTAGGTGTTTCCACGGACATTTGGGGATTAGCTGCTCAGCTTGGGCATAGGGAAGATTCAAAATCAATTGCGGATGAACCTATCCACAGATGTCCCTGATGACAAGTGGGGAGGTCCATCAAATATCCGCAGTGATGATGTTCGAACTGGTCGCAATGAGTAATCATCGAATTCTGACCACTGAAATCGTTGACTGTGACCCCAACACGGTGGCTAGGGTCAACTGTTGGCAACTCAGCGAAGTCAGAATCCCCAGCGTGAACGAAGGGGGCCGAGGTGAGGTAAACGCGGGAGGGGAGGATTGACATGGCAGGCACACACCAGAACAAAGATCAGAGAAGTCTGGATGCACAACGTCAATGTCTATCTGCAACGAAAGGTTCACCCTAGGGTTGAACATTTGAGTGTGGAATCGAGCGATCGTTGCGGGTTTTGATAATCACGTTGTGCAGTTGCCTGATATTGTGGTTTTACCGAGAGGGGTAAAACCAAGAAGGTGGAGCTGCTGACCCGGCGCATATTGCCACAAACTAACGACAACGGGTTGTCGTGGGGGTGAAACTAGAGTCTAGCGGTCGTCATGAACCTAAAATTATGAACTTTTTGGTGAGCATCTGGCGCCATGCCCACTAGGAGGCAAGTCCCACGAGAAGAACAGGGAAGAAGGCACTTGCGGGTCGCTGGATGCACGAAGCCCGAAACTAGCCTGACGTCTCGAAAGCTATGGAGTCACTGGGTCGGTTCTAAATGGAAGGAGAGGCTTCTCACGACGGGCCGTCGTGGGGTGGAATCTATAGCAGCTACTGAGGTGCGGGTTAACACATGGCGAGTGGGCGTCCAAATACCAACAGAGTTGCTTGCTCCATCCAGTTGTATTCGGACCGTACGATGACCTGCTGACGGTTATTTTCCAGGTCCCAAACATTTGGTAGGTTTTCGGAAGATTCACAACAGAACGATTATCGGGTAGCACAGCACGAGTGAAGCCGCGTTCGACGAGATCACTGGGGGACATAGTGGCCCAGAGTAGAAGCCATCATCTGGTTTGCCTGGTCTCGAGTAGCCCATTTGATGTTGCTGAAGATCGCTGGTGAGGCATATGGGGACTCTCTCGGCACAATGTCGCGAAGTCCGGGGAGACACGCAAGCTAGTTTTCCGCGGGGCAGAACCTGAACTCGGGGGTGAACTAAGGCGTACAAGTACGCGGGCGAGTGCATGCACCTGGGAAACAACGCGATGAGGGCTGTACCCTGGAGGCAAGTAAGTATGGTCATGGGTAGTCATTGCGATCAGCAACGGACGGTCTAGACTCTGGATTGGCACCTGTGGATGATCGAACCAAAGTTTGATTCTGAAGCGGCTAAGCGCGGCCGTGACGTTAGCTCTGACATAACGGTCGCACGTGATTTACTGATTACCAGCCGCGGTCCCGGTCCCTTTCGACTCTCGAGCCTTACCCGGTACAGCTGGTCCCCTCTTCGCCATTGACTGTGAACCTCACCGACGCAAGATCTACGACCTTGGACAGGTCGCGTGATCCCCAGAGGTGATAGACCCCGAAGATGCCAGAGAGAAGAGCAAAGCTATCGAGAGGCGTCTCTGCCAGTTCGCTGAGGGAAAGGTTGTCTTCGTTAAGCTCTACTCCTCTGAAGCCGGTGGCCGCTAGTTTGCAGGCTAACATCGAGTGCGTGTTCTACTCCCTGCCTGCCTGATGGTCCTCCGGTCACCAGACGTTCCCCCGCTCCGTCGTTCAACTCTCACACCCCTCCCTCACAAACGTCTTCCGGATAGATTCGTACCTTCAAAAGTCCCAACCAAACGGAGGATCCAAACGCTAGCCGTATTTACCTGGTCTTCAACGATGTTCATCTGTTGTGCCCTGTTCTTGTACCTATGGTGCGGAATTAACCCAACCGCCAGGCTTGGCGATCTAACGCTAATGGTCCTTCAGTTCGTTCCCCCCGCTATGGCCAGTGCTAGCCACGTATATGTTCTGGGTGTTGGTTATCGATAAGAGTCCGGTCACCGGGGGAAGATCAAGTCAATGGTTCCGTGGAATGAGATTCTGGAGATACTTTTCGGAGTACTACCCCGCCTCGTACGCGTCTTTCCTCGGTCCGCTCTAGATTAATGCCCCTCACTTAATGCCTCACGCCCGGATGTTGTTTTCCAAAGATTCGTCAAGGAACAGGATCTCCCAGCTGATAGGCCGTATGTTTTTGGATACCATCCACATGGTGAGTCCAGAGCGTGTGTGCTTGGCCACCTCAGTGAAAGTTCCTGACCTCATCCGACCAGGGATAATTGGCATGTGAGTGGCAGTTCCAAGGCTCCGATTCTCGGCCTATCATTCTGAGGCATCTCATCAGGGGTGCTTTGGCAACTTTCGCCACTGACGGTTCGTGTCCCGCCCCCCGGTGTGCTTGTCACTCCCGATATCTGACACCCCCTGCAGCTACAGGGTTCTCCAAGGAATTTCCTGGAATCACACCACACTTGTTGACACTGGAGACAAACTTTCGTACACCCTTCTACCGAGATATCTTGATGTGGATGGGCATCTGTTCCGTTAGCAAGGACTCTTGTCAAAACATCCTTGGACAGGGTAGCGGGTCCGCGATTACTATCGTTGTTGGCGGAGCTGCTGAGAGTTTGAGCGCACGTCCCGGGACTGCGGATCTGACCCTTAGGAAACGGTACGAAACCAATAGCCCAAGAGGCTGCCCTTGACCCTACCCGATACTTATGACCTATCTCATAAGACTCGGGTTCATCAAGGTTGCCATACGAGAGGGGTTCGTTAAGTGGCAGAGATCGTTCAATTCGCGATGACTTAACGTTGCCATAGCGCCGACTTAGTGCCTGTATTCTCGTTTGGGGAAAACGATGTGGGCTCTGACCGGTCTTTTTTCTTCTGGTTCTCTGAACGTTGACATTTCGGCAGATATACCAGCAAATGCCGAATCAAAAGGGAACCTCCGTCCATGCACTGCAGAAAAAATTCCAAAATGTCTTTGGTTTCACCTTGCCCCTATTCCATGGACGTGGACTTTTGAATTGTGCGCGTGGCCGACTTCTTTCGTTGTCCGCAAGCGTTATTTTTGACCCTGTATTAGATAACCTCGGCTTGCTACCTTATCGTAGGAGGATCGTGTCTGTTAGTAAGTCATCAGCAATCCTGGGCGCCCGATATCGGAAGCCTCATATAACTCTAGTTGGTCGTCCTATACATGTCAACCGATCGGCGAACCCCACTATGGAAGAAGTTACAAGGGTGCAAAAGCTGTATATCCAGGAGTTAGAGAGGTTCGTGAAGACGCTCATCCTCGCGCCACTCATCACGTTCTCAATCGCTTAATCACGCCAGAATCTGGAATAAGTACAAGGACGAATTTGCGAAGACCAGACTGAGAGAGATGAAGATCATCGAGTAATCCGGGACGCAGAAGACGATCCTCTCTCAGAGACCAACCGTTGTTGCTTGTCGTCATAGATTTTCACCTAGACACCGTTTGTTTTTCGTGCCCTATGTCTTACTAAGTTCCACGACACTCGGCAGAATTACGGCGCTTGAGGCAGAAGGCTAAAAACCTTATCCCCGCCAGCTGTCGGTAAAATGTGTTCGAACGGATCGGGAGATAAGGCCAAAAAAGCTACGAAAAAATTCCCATTAGCCGACTCGAACGACTGACCTCGTCATCACGCGAAGTAACGCCGCAAAGCTGGCTGAGATACTAGTGACGCGCTCTACCAGCTGAGCTAAACGGGAGCTACCGAATGTTGGATTTTTGTGCATTCTGTTCACCGCCTTGAGGTACAGGAACCGAACGGAAACTTCCTCAGAGGGAATGGCCAAATGACGTGTTCCAGTCTCGGCCCGGGTCGTGGGAACGCCAAAGAACAGCACTGTCGATCACTTCTTCGGGTCGCGGTGATCGGACGAAAATGGAAAATGTTTGAGGAAAAAGTCGGGAAAAAAGGAACAAGCGAGGGTTGCCGCGCAATATGTGTGACAAATAGCGGCGGCTTGAGGGGGAAAATGGGGAGGCGGATTTTGGAAACACATGATCCGGTTCACGAGACGAGATGACGAAAAAATCACGGCCTACGGAGACGTGACACACGCGTTCTCCCTCCCTGCCCGCGCATACAAATGACGTTCTGTCAGTTTCTGTCAGCCGTTGTCACGCGCCAATCTGGATATGCGTCGAGTGGAAGGTTCTCTACTTAGGTCCCAATCCACCCCTCCCCACCCATCATGAAAATGACATTTCGCCGCCGGTGCGGTTGTTGGACAAACAGTTCCATATCAGACGCGAATTTGTGGCTTCCTGGGCGCGCCGGGCAACTGCCAACTCTGTGCCTAACACTGAAACCCGTCGTATTTTTTTTTTTTCACGCGGAAACGCGACCGATACACGTGCGTCTCAGGAAATGGAGGTTACGAGATGCGCCGGATGGGTCGAGGCATAACCCTGCGCATCGTGAATTCACGATATAAAACCGCCGCCTGGGTGGCAACCATCATGAATCCCCGCTCATGCTGATGGGCAATATGAATAATCGCAGGCGACTCGTGATGCATAGACGCCTCCTTTCGTACCTTTTCGTTTTACCTTTTCTCTTTGTTAGCCTCGAGTGAATTTGTGTACCCCACGGTATGGCGCGCGACAAATTCGGAGGGGGAAAAACAGCGAATGAAGACCTCGCGGTAGATCCGAATGAGTCGAAGCTGTAATATCGGGTCGCGTTTGGTGGTTTTTGAGTGGGGAGTGTTGCTCCACAAACCGATATCGGCTTTTCTGTCAAGCGAGTGGGGGTCGGGAGTTTGTGATACTGCGGACGTAGCATCACCTTCGTTGGGGGGTAAGAATTTGCGCGAAAATGACATAGTAAATTGAACATCAAGAGTGGAGCTTCGTGTCGGCCAGCCGACATTTGGGTATTTGTAACCCTCGGTGATTGCACACCGCACGCCGGTGAGAAATAGTCATGAGAGCGATCCAACCAACGGCAAATTGCCGCTGATGGGTCGAAAGTCAAGGGGATTCCAGAAGGATGAAGGTATAGTCCAGCGAAGGGCCCCAGGTAGCGACGGGCAACCCAAATGACCCGTTATTCGATCCATCGATTAACCACCCTGCTACGTGGCACTGGTACAAGTTGGTGCTCTGGGCGTCTCGAGTTATTCTTTGTTCCCTGTGCGCCATTCTTTTCCACAAAAAATCTGTCCACATATCGTCGGATACACGAAAGGGGAAGAGATAATCCACAAGTGCATTCAATTGTACCTTGAAAAACGTCGCTCGGTCCAACGGATCCGGCATGAAATCCCGATGATGCCGGGAAGGACGGATTCCATAACAAACAGGAAGAGACGATCTCGATCATCAATCGGAGGTGAGGCCCCCGGAACGGCAAGCAAAGCTATAGGGGCCTACATGAATCCGGGACGGTTCCGAGAAAGATTGTGGCCAGGGCAAGCTGAGAATCCCACAAGAGAGATCTTCCTGGGACCATAAGGGCAACGGGGGTCACGAAAAAGCATAAGGCAATTTCATAAGAGTCATAGTTGGTGCGGCGGATCTATGGGATTTTCGCATCGTCCCGGTAGCGGAAAAGAGATCTTGAAAGATACAAAACACGGCACATCGATACGAGAATGGTATTCCCGCTTTATGTCGAGTAGAATCCAGAATCGCTGACGCAATCACCAGGATTGCCTGTCGCCTCTAAACGTACAGCATCTAGATCGGGGACGTAAAATTATGGAAAAAGACCTTGAGCAGAAAAAAGCCTTACTGAAATAGGCGTGGGCTTGGGCCTCACGAGCAGTCAGTCGTTCTTGATGGTCATAACGGAGAAGCTTCTCGAGTAGATCAATAGCCTCTTGGGTAAAAAACGGCACGGTATCTGGCGTGGTGTATCGTGTCCAGGGTTGCCTTGGCCACCTGATGTATAAAGTTAACCTTCACTCAGGTTGAGAAATTTTCTGTACACACGCGCGAAGCAAAGCATCCGAATCGGTCTCCATCTCGATATCATACTTCTCCATATACTTATCAAACTCTTCTGTCCCCAGGACCTTGAGAATCTTCAATAACTGGTCAACGTTATCCGATCCTCGGAAGAAGTGCTCCCGGCGGAATATCTATAGTGTTTTAGCTATTGAGGAGACACATGCAACGAGGACCACACAAACCAGCGAGGCAAGCATACAGCCAACACTCCACATATCCAGGCTATAGTCATAGCGTTTGTAGCCGACCAAAAGTTCTGGACCTTTGTAGTACCGGCTGCCGACTCTGATATGGTAGTCTGTCTTGGGGTGATAAAACTCTGCCAAGCCCCAGTCGATCAGACGCAACTGTTCGGATGCCAATGAGTATGGCGACGTTTAAGAACGGAATGGAAGGGACCTTTCGTGTCTCGACGTCTATCATAACATTCCCCGGCTTGACATCGCGGTGGATGATACCCCTTGAATGAACAAAGTCCAGGGCCTAGAAGAAGTGCCTCAGTACGGGTACCCTCAAGAGGCCGAAAAATCGAACCTTGAGGAGTTGGAACAGGTAGTACTTCATATCGAGTTCGCTCATGCTCCGGAGGAGGACCTTCCAGTCGGTATTGTTCACGTGTTCCATGATGAGGCTGTGATACGCATGTGAGGGATCCCGCACGACATCCAGGAGCGCAACGATGTTGGGACCTCCAGAGATGTTACGTAGCACCTTGATCTGGTTGTCTGCGTGAATATCGGACGAGGAAATGAATGAAAAGATCAAGTGGCACCTCTCGTTTTATCTTCTTTTCCGAGACAGGCTTCAGGACTTTTATTGCACAGGTTTCATCATTAAGGATGTCTGTTCCTTCAAAGACCTGAATGCCCGATTCTGGCGTCAATGAGAACTGTGGAATGGACGAACAGAGTTGTCAAACCTCTGAGTACTTTCCACCACCGATCCTGCGGATGATTTCATACCTGCTTGGCTCATTCCATTGTATTTCCATGTGATCTGTGGAGGTAAAAGTGATTGAAACCGGGGCGACGGAGGGTGGAAATGATGGAGATTACGGACCATAGTCGTACCATTTTGGACCAGAGAGAGCGTTGGCGTCCGCGTATACTCGTGCCATAGGTGAATTGACTGGCACAAGGAAACGCCTGGCTGACTTGGTCAACTGGGGAGTGTGGAGGAACGAGCCTTTGAGGATCGCTCGGGATAACTTTGCGATTACTCCGAATTAGGAAGGTGCTTCTTTCGCCCCGAGCCGAGTATCTAAAGGCAAGCCGAGCGGCAGTGGCTAAAGGCAACGAGGTAGCCGCGAGGTCTGGAACATACTTGTCTACCGAGGCTCAAGAGGACGGCGGAGAGAAATCACGGAAGAGATGACCACAGTAACTCCGTACTTTGAAACAGTCAAGGTGACACATCAGGAAAATGCTCGGTGACTTCCATGCGATTCCAGATGATCGAGTTTGTCCACACGATTCCATGGTCGAGACAGACAATTCCACGCGCTTCCATAAAGTCAAAAACGCTTCCACGCGCTTCAATGAAAGGAGGCAAGGCTTGCATGGGCCTCCATAAAGGAAGAAGAGGTGTGCATGTGCCTCCATAGAGAAACAACAAACATGAGAGCACTTGCAGGATCCCTGTTGGTTCATGGAACCGCATTGATTCACATTGATATACTGTGCTCTCACTTTCCGCTCGGGCGTTCGACGGCGCAGCACATTTCGTTCCGCTAGGGCATTCGACGGCTCGGGCAGCCACGCGCATTTATTACAAGGACAACAACCATCAAACGTGAGTACTTGGGTGCCCGTTGGTCCTCGGTTTGAAGATAAGGCGACACGGAGGTACATTTGTTTGGCGGTGTTGTCATACCCCCAGGTCAAAAGCGAGACTTTTCTCGATCGAGCCACAACCTGCGCCTTGTCCTTCGACCATCATGGTCCCAACCTCATCGGTACCCTCTTTGCCTGAGACGCACTCTCGTTTGGAGTCCCTGACTAGATTTTTCGAGGCGCCGAACGATCTATCACTGTGACTGTGCAAGGTGTGCCCCTACCCCTATTTTCTCTCTCAACGACACATTCTCTAATCGCCTCGCTGGTGTATGACATCAAGAGCTGTTACCTCGGTCCCAATTCCCACCCCATCTGGCAAGATTACACCCATCCTCTCTCCACCAAACATCTGCATCTCGGTTTTGTTGTCTTGTTGGATTCCGTTTGACAAAGATCATGAAAATCGAATGGAAGAACAGTTGGGAGGCACGAGGAAGTCTGAAGGATCTTTACTGGATAGACTCTAGAGCTATGCAGAGGTACGTTCCTGATGTCTTGTTTGCTTTCATGTGGAGGTGAGTGATCTGCAGGATGAAAGTTTTGGTGTAGGTGTTCACCAATTTCGTCCCGTTGCTGCGCACTCATGGCAAGGATTTCTTGACCAGTGTTCCCTGTCATTAACCTCTCCTTGGCTCCTAAGCCATCTTCAACCCGTATCTCGTCTTCGCGCTCAGAGTTGGTTGTTGCCTTGCCCGGTATGTGTGGGTTTCCCATTTTTATCGGACACGCCCCACTTATAGTTGATCCTCAGAATGGCCGGCTTAACACACAACGAAGGGAGTGAGCCTGTAAGGTGACATGGTATCTATTTTCTCCTATCTTCATGACTAGGATGTCCTTCTCTTCCTCGTCATTACTCGTAGTACGGATATAATACAATCCTCGTTTCCTATCAACAAACCTTGGACATCCAT